GTTAGGGTTTTCAACTTGTATAGCATTCGGCTCACCTACCCTCTATGTCCATGTATAGATTTACGCAACATTCACTTACCTACTTCCTATCCTCACTTATATAAACCCCATCTGTGTTAGTATAGGGAAAAAAAAAAAGAATAAATAAATACGTCAGATAAAGGTCATCTAAAAGTTTGTTTATCAATATAAGTAAGTAAATAAAAAAAAAAATAAAAATAAAAAACAATAATTTTAAGGAGGAAAGAGAAATGCAACCGGTAGAAGAAATTAACTCAAAGTTAACATTCGAAAAGAATAACTCAAAGTGGATTCCTTAAAATAATAAAATTAAAAGCAAAACAAAGCATTTTTGTCATTCCCCAAAGTGAGTCTCTAAAACCAAGAAAATGAGGGAGTAAAATATTTGGCATGCAACCGCGGTTCAACCTGACTAATTAAATCACGCGACTGATAGCAAGAGGCGACTGTTGCTACCAAACCTTAAATATATATAGTGCGGATAACAACTTTCTAAGTTGTAACTTGCCCCCTTCCTGATAGGTGTCGGTCCAATTTTAGCTATGAAATTGATCATGTGATTTGCCACATGTACAACTGAAATGTTAAATATCTTTCTCTCTACACGCACACACACATATATACACACGTTTGAAGATATGTATCTCTCTTTAGATGTGTCAAAGGAACCATCAATGTAGTGTGGGTGTGAGTAATGAATGCCATGTCACCCCAGGACAAAACACTTTGACACGCTACTTCAGTAGTCAAAGTCAAATTAAACTTAGATCACAATAAAAAGCCATATTATAACAAACCTTGGATAAATAATAAAGAAAACTAACATAGCCAGTGGATTGAAGGACCCAAACCCTCGTTCCGACTTACAAACTACACAAAGCCACTTAGAGCCTCGACTAAGCTGATAGCCCGTCGATCAAAAGACCTAGAACCTCAATAGTACTTGCACAATTTAGACATCAAGTAGCCTACAGCCTTAGATGAGACCCAGAGCCTTGATCTGACTCACAGCCTAGACATCAACTTAGAGCCTCAGATGAGCCAAAGCTATAAACTAGTCTACCGAACGACCCAGAACCTCAATCCAGCTCACAACCTGTACATCGAGTAACTAAGAGCCTCGATCGAACCAAGACCAGAACCAGTTGATCAAAAGACCTAGATCCTCGATATGACTTACCCAACCTAGATATCGAGCAATATAGCCTCGAGACCACCCATTTAAGCTAGCAGCGATTCAACTCCATCATAAGTTAAAGTAATTGTAGAACTCTTTAAGGTTAATTAGGATGCTTAAAGGATATTAGATTGCATGATGGAAGATCAATTTAAGTCCTATAAAGATGGACCCAACTTAGGGAAAAGTGAAAGAAAAATCCAAAGCGATAACCATACAATCAACATTAATACTCAACCACCCCATTCTGATGAGCTAAACCTTATTTAATGAGGGTCATACTCGGGCATGACAATCTTGACAAAGAAAGTAAGGTAAATTACACAAATACTCCCTAAGGTTAGGTCATATTTCAACTAGATGAAGATTTGGTTTTAAACTTTCACTTACACCCCAATAATGTGAATTGACCCTTTTATCCTCAAATTTTTAATACAAAATATATATAATCTTAAATGACAAAAAGACCCCTATCCCTACCCAACACCACCGCCACCATCTCTGGCTCCATCTGATGAACCAATTTGTGCATAGCTCCTTCAGGTTCAAGAAATTGGTAAAGTAGTTTTGGAACCTTTCAACAATCTATCTGAAACCGCTTCCGATAACAGCAGCTATGACATTCGCTTTGGGGCAACCTACATCCACCATCACTTATCCCAAACCACTGCCACCATCTCCATCCCGACATCCACCACCACATATCCCAAACCACTGCCACCATCCCCACCTCCATCCTCACAACCACTACCATTAACCCATCACCCAAAATCGACCGAGCAGAAAACCCATCCTCATCAGCGAATCGATCTGCAGTATAACCCATCCCCAAAACCCATCCTCATTGATCAACAAACATGGAAAAACTCACGGCGTGTACTGAGCAGTGGCAAAGGACAAAGATCCAGTTGGAGGAACTGAATCGGCAACCACAGATTCACAACACCGACAAAAATCCCAACTTCTTCAACAGCGACAGAAGTGGAAAAGATGGCTGAAACGGTGATGGACGACGGCCTGATAGCACAGAACACCGGTGGAAACGCGGCCGATGGATGAACGGCGGCTTGGGATGAACTGCGGCAGTGAGCTTTGGAACGGTTGCGCAGCCATGGACGAGCGGCGGTGCACGGCGGGATAGAGCGGCAAAGATGAAGATGGGCTATGGAGAGAACTCAGCCAAAATATTTGATTCTAACTAATGAATAATCCTTTTAAGTGCAACAATTTAAAAAAAAAAAAAGGAAGAGGAGGAGGTTGAGAGAGAAAGAGGAAGGTTCATGACAGAGAGGGGGCGGTGGTGATTGTGAAGGGGTAGTTTGGTCACAAAAATAGTCAATGTAAAGTCAAAGGGTAGTATTGTCATTTAACACTCCAGAAGTACTCTAATTCAATTAAAAAGTGATATTTGGGGTGTAAGTGAAATGTTAAACTACGAATTCAAATATAAGTGAAATCTAAAACCAAAATGTTAATCTAACTGTAATATGATCTAACCACAGGGGGTGTGGGTGTAATTTACCCAAGAAAGTATATAAACCTCACATTATAAGTCTGAAAAGGTTAAGAATAAGTCATCATAACCTGTGAATAAACTGGTGGGTAACCTCAATATTGAAGGCTATAAAAAGAGGGTGGAGGGAAGCTTTGAAGGAAACATATGAGAAGTTACCAACTTCATAAATTGGTTTCTTTGCTAGGTTAGTACGATTTTCCCTATCCTCACTCAACTTCTCTAAAGTTGGATTGATATTCTCTTCTTTACTCTATTCTCTTATGCTGATGCCACCTTACCAATAGAGGACAGACAATTATCATTAAGGTTGATTTGGGACATCATCCCAGTCTTATGGTATGAGTCAGCAGTCTGGAGTCTATGCACTAAAATGTTTTGGTTTTTGAACTTTTTTCCCAGTCTTATACAATGTTATGCTATCAACGGCCATTTAATTTATGATATTTAGGTTGTTATTGTCTATTGACTTACTGAGTTCCTTTATTTAATGGACTTCTCTCGATGGCTATTAATTTAAAGTCTCATATTTATCTTATATTATTAGTGAAAGGGAGGAACCTAGAAGCTAGAACTTTTGCTTGGTTTTAGGTTGGTGCCCCAACAGAGTTTTTAGAGGAATTTTGTTGGTATTTAAATTTCCTACATTAATCTTTTTGTGGGCTATCAATACATCTGATTCTAATATGAATTCGATCCAATTATTCATATATCAATTAAATAAAAAAATTAATAATTCAATAATTCATTTATCTTGAACACATTAAAATTAATCCAATTCGATAGTGATCCAACCCAACTAAAATTTTATATATATACCATTAAATAAAATTTTATATATATATATATATATATATATATATATTACATTACAATATAATGCATATGTATATTATATATATTAGTTATCTACCATTAAATTTATATATATTAATTATCTATCATTAGATTCGTTTTTTTTTTTTCCTTTCTTTCCAAGAATTATCATTAGATTCATTTGATTTCGTAGTTATATGATGCACCATCTTATATATTAATAACTTTCCTTCTACCTAAATATATAACTAGACATGTCATTGGATAGGATTTTAATTCGAAACCACACCAAATAATTAGCATATAAATTGGAATACTCAATTTGGTAAACCAGTTAACTATAATAATCTCTTAGCTAAACAAATCATATGTGAATTATGATCTGAAACCAATCCAGACCTACTCCTACAATGGATTTTGATAAACCTTAAGGTCTAGAAGTATCATTATTTATTATTATTTTTTTGTCAAATAAAGAAATACATTTACACACTTTCTGTTTCAATGAAACTTATATCATCGACTTTTTACCGTAGAAGGCAATGAAATACCACTTTGCAATACAACGCTCGATAGTGGAAGTATCATACTGTGCTTCGCATTTAGCTTTAGTACATAAAACTTACCCATTTAGAAGATGTTGTAGAGGTGGGACAGAAAAAACAAAAATATATATATATATTATTTCTTAAGTCATGTTCATTCATTTTTTTTTTTTTTTTAATTTATTGTAGTGATAATTTTGGTGCGGACGCAACTACTGATTACTTCGATATTGCTGTAACCTCGTTAGTAGAGCCTACATCTAGGCTCGAGCCTGTGATCAATGCAAAAAATAAAAAAAGTTTGAGACTCTATCTCGTTAACAGTGAGACTTGGGCGGTTGGACGGGCCAATGGGTTAAGCCCATGCCAAATTTAAGATTCTAACAACTTAATCCATGTTAAGTTTAAGCCCATGTCAAATTTAAGATTCTATCAACCCGTGTTACACCACACGTGTTTTACGGATTTTTCGAATTAGTTGGGCAATCTCAAATTTTAATAACCAAAAAAATTAAATATTAAAGTATATAATTAAAAAAATTTATATTCTTTAATATTTTGTTCCCTTAGATAATTTTTTAAAAAACAAAATAAAATTTAAAATAATCGTGTCAAAGTTAAGGGATTACCATGAATCCCTGATTGATAATATTATACATAATCTAATTTTAACTTTATTTTACATAAATATATATAACCTTAAAAATATAAAAGTTATAAACTATTCATATATTTTAGGTTTTTTTAGATTAGTATAACGTTCACCCAAATCCTGTTCAAAAACAAATTCGAATTTTAAATTTTAATCACAATCACATCCATGGACTCAAGTACCTTGTCCATTTTTGTAAAAATTGTCAAACCAAATCCGAGCTAGTCCCTTCAAGATGGGACTAACACTCTAGTTAAGCAAATTCACACCCCACATATGCTTCCGGTAAGGCTCGAACCCGGCCTCACCAGTTGTGCTCTCGCCCATTTGGTTACAGAGGCATTGTTTGATGGGAACGATGTCGTGTATGGCTGTATAATAAACGGCTTAAGAGGTAGGGTTCATGAGGGAAAAGGGTTTTAGGAAAGGGATTCCAAATTTGCGATATATTTCAGATTCCCTCTTAAGAACAAGAACAGGACAACAGGTGAGTCCCTTCCATCATTGTCCATGTGGTGTGTTGTATCCTTTCACCAACTCAGAAACTGCATTTCCTTCAAAACTACTCATTATCTTCATCATCCTCCACACTCAAATCCACATCTACCACTTCAAATCAACACTCATTCATTGTCGATTACCTCATTAAATCATGTGGGTTTCCTCCAGAAAAGGCTTTCTGGGCCTCCAAGTACGTGAACTTCAAAACCCCAGACCAACCAGACTCTGTTCTCGCATTCTTCAGCAGCCATGGATTCACCGAAACCCAGATCTCAGTTCTCATCAGAAGATTACCTCAGGTACTCATGTCCGATCCCGAAAAAACCCTTTTACCCAAAATCGTATTTTTCCACTCTAAAGGTGTTTCAACCGAAGAAATTGCCAAAATACTGACTGGAGCACCACGTTTTTTGATAAGAAGTTTGGAAAATCAAATAATCCCATCATACAATTTCTTCAAGAAATTGCTCAAGTCTGAAGAAAAAGTAATTGCAGCTATTAAACACAGTGGCGGGTGTTCTTTGTTGGATGCGGCTCCCAACATAGAAGTTCTGAGAGAATCAGGTGTGCCTGAATCGAATGTTGTGGCCCTATTTATGAGTCAACCTAGAGCTTTCGTGTGTAGTACTGATAGGTCTAAGGAGATTGTGGAGGAAGCAAAGAAAATGGGTTTTAACCCTGAGAATGTGACTTTTGCTTTAGCAGTTAATGCACTGAGGGCAATGAGTAAATCAACGTGGGAAAAGAAGGTGGAGGTTTACAAGAAGTGGGGTTTGTCTGAAGAGGAGATTTTGGTAGCTTTTAAGAAGACTCCATGGTGTATGGTAGTGTCGGAGGAGAAGATTATGGCAATAATGGATTTTTTTGTCAATAAAATGGGTTTGGAGTCCTCGATTGTTGTGAGGTATCCAGGGCTTATTACCCAGAGCTTGAAGAGGAAGATCATTCCAAGGTGTTTGGTTTATGAAATTCTATTATCGAAAGGTTTGATTAAGAAGGATTTTGGCTTGAATTTGATGTTTGTGTCTACTGAAAGTTACTTCCTACAGAAGTATGTGAAAAAATATGAGGAAGAAGCTCCTGAGCTTTTGAAGTTATATCAAGAGAAGTTGAATCTTTCAAAGTGACTAGGATATGGAAAAATGAGGAACAGAGTTGGTTTCTCCTATGTTTACTCTTGGGTAATGAATATGCTTTTTTGTGAAATACAACATGCCAATCAATTCACATTCATTGATCTCTGAGCAAATTTGAGTTATCCATTTTAGCTCCGGCAATTGAAACATGAAGCTCAACAACATGGTGCATTGAATTCTATGATACTTTTGTAGTGGATTGGGCTTGGTGTGAATACCATTGTCCGTTTATCTGGGAGATCAGTCTGGCGATCTTGGTTTTGTTCTGAACTAGTTCAATTTGGTAAATTACTGGTTTTCATTTTCATTTGTAATGGCGCAAACATCTAACTCAGTGTTGTATTTATTTAATCCAGCAACTGTTATTTTCCTCTTTTGTTTAGAGCATAAATTAATGAGATTATATAACATTGTTCTCTTTATTCAAGTGTGACATTGTTGGTTCAATTCATGATTCAGTCCATATACCATTAACCTCCTAACCTCTGCTGCCCCACCTCTGTGACATTGTTAGTTGTCAATTTCCTCTGCGGCTGCAACAGCACACACTCCAACCCAAAATCCTCCATCATCCCCACCACCAACACCGCAACCCACCACCCAACGACCCTAGCCGCCACTGCCACCATCTACAACAAACCCAAGCCAACCGAATCCCTACTTGGCAAGAAACTTACACACCCATTTGCTCCTTTGGAGACGTGAACCTTCACCATCTACTTTGGGAGGTAGAGGAGATACCACTGGGCTATAAGGTCCTTGGTAACCGGATCCTTACTTAACCACTGCCATTAGGTTAAATATGGAAGTTTCATTCTTGGTTCCTTGTCTACGAAACAGCACAGCTGAGATATGCTTAGTAGTTGTGTTATATCAATGTTAAATGCGTAAATAAAATTACTTATTAGCTAGTGTGCTATCTATCCATGCATAAGCTTATGGATGGAATATACATATACGGATAACTATTTCTTTCAGGTAAATTGTTGATTATAATTGGTACAGCAAAGACCAATCCTTGCCCTTATAAAGAACGCCAAACTACATGATTATCTGGTATGTTTCAAGGCAATAGAATCCTTGGGGTTGATTTTATTCTTAGTTCAAGTTTCCTTTGTGCTAAATAAACTCCTCTTGATGATGGATTTTTAGACAGGATTTGAAGAGCTTGGAGGGACAGACCGACAAGTTCAGCACAAAGGAACTGGTTGAGAGGTTGGCTAAGGCTCAAATAATCTAGTGCCCAAATGAGGAGGAGCTTTCGGCAAAGCACAAATATTCCAAACTCCGGTCTCAGATTCAGAGTAAATGTAAACTGCCCATGATTGTTGCAATTGGTCCGGTTTGAGCCCTCAAGCAAGGTCGCATTATCATATGCATATTCTGTACCCATACATTATGTAAGTTTCCTGCTCCTGCTATCACCATTAATATGATCTCTGGGATGTTATCCCCTCTCTTTCAATTTAATTATACTAATTCATTCTTGTTGATGTTTTGGCTTATAACGTTTCCTTTCAATGACCCATCTAAGGAATCCCATTCCCCTGCCTCCAAATCATTAAAATTATTGTTTAGGTTCTACCATGACAAAACAAATTGCCATTCCTAAATTGAGCAAATCCATGCCTTTGTCATGGACTTATATCCCATACTATGAATTGTTTTGTCCAAGCATTTATCAGATGACACTCAAGGTGATCCGAACATTTATTGGATGACACTCAAGGTGACACATCACCATTAGCACGAACATCACATTTGTAAGTGCGAATGCTTGCACCTGTCAATGCCGTAGGCACTAAAAAAATAAATAATAATAAAAAATAAATTGAAAGAAAGAAAGAATGCAGCAAAACATTAAATTTAACTGATAAAAATATGAAGCAAACACTAGCAACCCTAGAATATGAAAACCGAAATCACATTAAGTGGCAACAAACACTTGCCAACAATTGCCTATATAATTATTGTGTTACAAACTCCACAACCTGAGCTATATAATGTACAACACACTACGACGGAAGACCCCAAAACATACAATTTGAGGAATACCCTTATTTTGTTACATCTAATCCACAACTTCTAATAAATAACAACTGCTACAAACAGCTCACAGTTGATCAACAGCACACGAATAACACGAATCCTAAGAAAGGGAAATGCATACATAACATAACACACACAGGACCAACTCCTTGTATGAGACATTTGAAGTCTTGATATATTTTACATGAACAAACGATGCCTGTTTCCTTTTAGTTTCACCAACACCCTTTTTCCGTGAGGATGGCTATGCGGCTGAGTGCACTGTCTCTGAATCTCGACGATCCCTGCAAAGCAGTGTGAAAACAAGGAAAGAACGAGAATGACAAACAAAAAAACTGGTTAAGAATCTTTTTTCCCTAGATAAATAAGCCATGTACTAAGAAGATTCAAAATGTACAAGAGAAGAGAGTGGGACATACTCCATAGAAGAAGTTTGAATTTGAGCTTCATAATTTAAGGGTAAAGTACAGCCACACTCTCTGAGGTTTGGTAAAAAGACGCTCAGAGGAAACTTACCTGTTTTTTGGACAAAGACATCCCTTGATGGTTTAAAAATGGACAAAGACACCCCCTTACATGAAAAATTGACCAAATTACCATTTAACCATTTAGAAAACTTTTTTAACTTTGCAATTTAATAAATTGGACTAATCTAACAATTTATGCATAAGAAAAAAAATTATATTGTTAACTTTTTTATTATTTATTTATTTTATTTTATTATTTTGTTATTTACTTTATAAATGTCCCAACTTCTTAAAAATGTAGATGTCTAAAATGATTTTTTGATCCAATACATATATTTCAAATAAATTATATTTTGTTTTTACTTCTTTTCTTTTTCTTTTTTATTTTTAAATTAAGATGCTTAATAATTTCTTTTCCTTAAAAATAAAAAATATGGTACCAATATAACTTTATGCATCTTAAATTATATATCAAATATTATGCATTTACCGACATAAAAGAAAATACTACATCTGTTCTTATCTCAAATGCATTCTCATGTTTAAAATTATAAATTTTTCCTCATGCTTATGATTTTGATGCTTTGATCCACATACAAAAAGTTACAAAGAATTAACTTTCACATATCAATTTTTTTCTATCCTAGTTAGGGGGGGGGCGGGGGGAACACAAGTTCTAGTTTTCAACATATTTGTCAACCCCTTTTCCATGTACATGTCAATATATTGTGCAATGAAGAGATAAAGGAATATACAAAATCCAATGAGTTTGGGGGTGGCTCTGAGGTTTTGAATTAGTATGAAGTTAGTGGTGGTGTGTGCATTTGTTCAGCTTCAAGGAGGTACCAAGCAGCAGAAAACAAGTTTAAACTTCTTCTTTTTTTATGCATAAATTGTTCATGAGGGTAAATTAGTCCAATTTATTATATTGTAAAGTTTAAAAAGTCTCCTACACGGTCAAAGGGTAATTTGGTCAATTTCTCATGTAAATGAGTGTCTTTGTTTATTTTTGAACATTCAAGGGGTGTCTTTGTCCAAAAAACATGTAAGTTTCCTCCGAGTGTCTTTTTGTCAAACCTTAAGGGTATGGCTGTACTTTACTCAAATTTTAAAATATTTCAATAGTTCTTTGGTTGACTATGGAAGCAAAAGTTTGATGTTTCAAGAACTGCCTCAATATCCATTTTGAGTTTTTATAGAGGTGGTCCAAAAGATGTGTGAGTTTCTTCTAGTAGACCAAGGCAAGATTTTCAATTTCTTTCAAGGTAGGTGGGTGACGATGGATGTTGTAAAGAAAGAAACATCTTGTAAAATAATGCAAAGACTGTAAATGTTTGAACCTTAGATATTTCCAGCGCGGGTTGAGCCACATAGTTCCCGTACGGATCCTGAAGAACTGACAAAAATTGTTTGCTCTCGATAAGCTCGTTTATAATTCGAGCTGCGTTCTCTTCACCCTTCTCTCTCAAACACTTCTCTACCACATTGCTGCTAAACTTTTTCATGGATAGAGTGGCAAAATTCCCTTGAAGCTGTGCCAAAACCTCTCTTTTAACAAGTGGTCCTTGCATTCCCAGAAAGTACTGTACAACATAGTTAATGAAAAGGGAAAAACAATTAATCAAAGAGGGGGATAGTTTTCGAGTTATAAAAAGGAATGACTAGAAAAGCATAACCTTTTCTCCTATGTATATTTAGTAGAATCACAAGCACTCACGTATAGCTTTCTCCTATGGCTATTTAATAGAAACACACCTCTTACTTGTATGTCTATATAACAAAAGAATGACCCTGGGGTTATCCCTCAAATCATAGAAGAAGAAAAAAAAACACACACACACACACACACACACAATAGAAGAAGAATTGCAAATGAGAGGCAGGCCAACCCTTCTACTTTGATTACATTAGGATAAGGGAGGATCCATAACTGATGCAAGAACAATCATACATCGTCCAAAATATGGTAGAAATAGTAGTTTTTTTTTTTTTTTTTTTTTTTTTTTTTTTTTTTTTTTTATTTAAAAAAAGTTCAATCATCTAGAACCTCCAACATAACATCCGATGGGAGGTTCAAAATATTCTCATCAACACAGGGTGCCAAGGACCTTGTTTACACCGCCTGGAACGAATATAAAGTTTACCCAATATCATTTGTTCTCTTATGTCCCATCACTGATATATCTGAAGTTGGATGAACAATTGAACATAAGAGTTCACCATATTGTTTCTTATTTGCATGCCATCTTTAAAGGTATGGGATGCTACTTTAGGTTTGATTACTCACTGGTTGTTGACTTGTATATTTTTTGTTTCTGCTTTTTGGTGAGATAAGATAAAACTCTCTGTCCCCTTAAGGTGTTTATCTCATTTATTGCCACATCAGTCGGTTTTTGTTACCGATCGTGATTTCTTATCGTTTTTTTTTTTTTGGGTTTCAGATAGACAAATGAAAGGAAGAAGAGATTTACCCAAAAGGATCTTCTGATAGGACCAATGCATTTGCAGTGATATCCTGAGCATGATCCCGACAATTTTGCAGCACACAACAACCGCTTTTGTCCGTCGCAATATCCATACAGTTTTCAGCAGTTACATCCAAAATATGCTGCAAAAAAAAGAGAGAGATATAGACATGATATTAAGCAATGTGTTCAACATGAGATTAAGCAATGTGTATTTTTTTTTTTTAATGTTTCTGCATCTGAAGGCAAGGATGATGACAACTATATAAATTCTTTCTCAACAACTATTTACAACCCAGCATGGGTCTGAGACACCCTGGATTGTTTCACAAGCGATTACGTGAGTTTAAATATTATGCGTGATAAGGAAAAAGGATTTTACATTTTCATAAAAATATAATAACAATAATAATAATAATAATAATAATAAATAAACTACTTACATTC